TTATAAAAAAATATATTTCATTGTTTTTTTTTTGTTTTTTTTTTACAGAGAGGAAGGGAGAGGGGTAGAGAGTCAGAAACATTGATGAGAGAGAATCATCGATCAGCTGCCTCCTGACACCTCCTACTGGGGATGTGCCCGCAACCAAGGTACATGCCTTGACCAGAATCGAACCCTGGACCCTTCAGTCCGCAGGCTGACGCTCTGTCCACTGAGCCACACTGAGCGGGGCTAAGTGAGGTGTCTTATCTGTGGAATTTTCGACGCGTAAAGGGTTTGCTGGGACGTCGCCCACCGTACGTCGGGGAGCACCGGCCTGGACTCCAGTTCCTGAGGCGCAAGCTGCGGTGTCAGGGCCGGGTGGCCGGCAGTGACTTGCTCCGGGGGGCACCGGGCCTCCACGGGCGACTGGGACGGGCAGACGCGTGGTGACGCCCCGAGCCGGGTGCCCACCGCGGACGGAGGGGCGGCGTCGGGGGCTCGCTCTGCCCCTCTCCCGCCTCCCCCGTCTGTGCCAGTTTTCACAGGAAACGCTGGGACGCTTTAAAACAGATGGGCACGCCGACCAAAAGCAGGGAAGGAAAGGGTGGCAGGACCCTCCCTCCCAAACCCCCAGCTCCCGGACCCCGCTGTTCAGGATGGACGTGGTGGCGCGCCAGGAGGGGCGCCTTCCGGGCTCACGGTGTCGCCCACTCTCCCACCTGCCCCCCCCCCCCCCCTCGGCCAGAGCCGCCGCAGGGAACTCAGGGCCCAGCGCACCCGGAGGAACTGGGCTCCGGAGGGCTTGCACCGCCACCTGCTGGCCGGAAGGCGTTCTGCACCCACTTCCCCGTCAGGGTCATGCATGGGCTGCAGGCAGTGGGGGCTGCAGGCAGTGGGGGGCCCTCGGGCGGCACATGGGGTGGCACTCAGGTACGGAACATGCACGTGTCCGGCACCCGGCCCCCCTCCCCAGAGCTGCGCTCCCCTTCCCGCCGCTCCTCTGCCAGCGGGGGCCCAGCTGCAGGGCCTGCTCTGTGCCCCCCAAACACGTGCCGGGGCACAGCCCGGGGCCACCCGCTCCGGGCGCACAGAGCCCCCACCCTTCCCTCGGGACGGGGACCCTGAGCGGAACTGAGCTCCCTCGCTCTGTCGCCCCGACGCTCCGAAGCCGTCCCTCCTGGGCAGTGGGACAGCGACTCCCACGTGACCCCTCCCAGCGCCGGCTCTGCGGCCTTGGGTGCCTGGGCCCTATGGCCGGGCTGAGGGGCAACACGGCCAGGGCTGGGCTGGCAGAAGGTGGGGGGAGCGCAGACCGAAGGCTACCCAGCGTGAACCCCAGGAGCTCAGGGGCTGAGAGGGGCAGAGACGGACGGAAAGGGACCGGGAGGGACAGGGAGGGACAGGGAGGGATGGAGAGGGACAGGGAGGAGCAGAGACAGACAGAGAGGGACAGAGAGGGACCCGGAGGGACAGGGAGGGATGGAGAGGGACAGAGAGGAGCAGAGATGGACAGAGAGGGACAGAGAGGGGAAAAGAGGGCGAGCACAGGCCTGTGTGCTGGTCACCGCAGCAGAGAAACGGCTGCAGGGACCAGTCCTGGGCGCTCAGGGCTCAGGGCCGGGGCTTCGGGCCCCTCATCTCAGACCCAGTGAAGCTGAGGGGGCGAGAGCAGGTCCAGGAAGCCAGGACCACAGCCCCGGCCAGGCCGGAGGCAAGTGCCCGGGACCCAGAAGTAAGGGGGAGAGCAGAGAGGGACAGGAAGACAGAGGGAGGTGAGGATGGAGGGACGGGAGGACGGAGGGACGGGAGGACAGAGGGACGGGAGGACGGAGGGACGGAAGGACGGAGGGACGGGAGGACAGAGGGACGGGAGGACGGAGGGACGGGAGGACAGAGGGACGGGAGGACGGAGCCTCAGTGGAAACCCCCTCCTGGAGACCCTCCCGCTGAGAGGCCAGCTTGGAACCAGACGAAAGGCTCAGTGTGTAAGAGCCCCAGCGTCCGGCGGGCAGGAGCGGGGCTGCAGGAGCGGCTCCCATCTCAGCGGCCAGTCCCTGCTGACTCACCCCGGCTGCCCAGGAGGCCAGGGGGCCTGACCACGGCCAGGCCCGGCTCACAACCCCGCGGAGCCCAGGTCCCCTCCCCCGGGCCTTCCCGAGGTGGCAGACCCCGGCCTCCCCACCAGCCCTTCACGGACAGCCACTGGGCAGTGCTGGGAGCTGGCCGGACACGCCTTCCACACCAGGCCGGTGGGCATGAGCGGTGACAGCCTCATGGAAGTGGGTTGTGTTTGTTCGCTTTTGTTGCTGTTTTTAATCCTCACCTGCAAATACTATCTCATTAGAGGGAGTTCAGCTCTCTCTAAAGGAGAAGGAGGAGGAGGAGGAGAAGGAGGAGGAGGAGGAGGAGGAGGAGGAGGAGGAGGAGGAGAAGGAGGAGGAGGAGGAGGAGGAAGAGGAGAAAGAGGAAGAGGAGGAAGAGGAGGAGGAGGAGGAAGAGGAGGAGGAGGAGGAGGAGGAGGAGGAGTAGGAGGAGGAGGAGGAGAAGGAGGAGGAGGAAGAGAAGGAGAAAGAGGAGGGAGGAAGAGAAAGAGGGGACACCGATGAGAGAAACACAATGACTGGCTGCTTCCTGCACACATGACCTGGGCCGGGGATGGAACCTGGAACCGAGGTGGGTGCCCTTGACCGGAACCGAACCCTCAACCCTTTGGCTTTTGGGCCAACATTCTAACCATTTCACGGAACCGGTTTCCAGGGTAAATTTTCACTTAAGCTGTATTCTCACTGATTTTAGAGAAAAAGGAGAGGGAGAGATGAAAACACCAAAGACGAGAGAATCACGGACCGGCTGCCTCCTGCACGCCCCCCACTGGGGAGGAAGCCCACGACCCGGGCCTGTGCCCTGACCGGGAATCGAACCCTGACCTCCTGGCTCAGAGGCCGGTGCTCAGCCCCGGAGCCCGCCGGCCGGGAGGGCACTGTTTTGCTGTGTTTTTAAAAAATGCATCCGAATGAGGTTTCACCGAAGCCCTGCCTTCCCCTCACACACAGTGAGAGAAGGCTCCACGCCCCCCTCCCCCTGCTGCCGGCAGAGGGCGGCCCCGCCTGGCCAGGCCCAGAGCCGGCCGCTGTGCAGCTCCTGACCAGCTGCTGGGCTCTGCTGAGCCAGGGGTGCCACGACGTGGCCGTCACTCCCACGTCCCCAGCGACCCCCCCATCCCCGTGTGTCAGCTCTCCGGTCCCCTGTGGTCACCCTGTGGTCACCCTGGCCCAGGCCGGGCCATCTAAAACAAAGGCTGGGCCGAGGCCCGACACTGGCTGCCCCCGCCCCGCCCCCGCCCCGTGTGCTAACCAGATGTCCCCCGGTGACTCTGCTCCAGGGCCCACATCTGCTCCTCGCTGGCCAGGGCAGAGGCCATCCGGCCAGGCCTCCCGTGGGCCCTCGGCGGCCCCGGACCCCCGGCCCTGCCACGCTGAGCAGGAAACCCTGGCTCCTGAGCCCGTCTCCCCGCGGGCCCCGTCACCAAGCTCAGTCACACACCGCTGGCCTCCTGGCGAGTCCACGGCTCCCCCCCGTGGTGAGCCCACCATGCCAGGTGTGGGTGCCCAGCACGCGGGCCCCGCACACCCCCCCACAGGCTCCGCGGCCTCCCTCTGCCTGGCCTCCTCCCACCCCGCGGCGAACAGCCCGGCCAGGCACCGCAACGTGGCGCCCTCCGGTCCGGCACAGGGTCGGCCCGGCACACGGAGCGCAGAGCGGGCAGCGGCCTGGACGCACAGCCCTGCTCGGGGCCTGGCCGGCCGAGGGGCGCGGCGGCGGAGCCATCCTGAGCGGAGTCACTCATCACCGACAGCGGACACAGCCCCGGCGGGGGGCCAGCTGGCCCGAGGGCGCCTCCTCCTGGGCCCTCAGGGCAGCCCCTCACCGGCCGCCCTCGCCTGCCCCCGGTCTGGGCCCTGGACTGGGCCCCCGGTCTGGGCCCCCGGTCTGTGTCCCCCGGTCTGGGCCCCTGGTCTGTGTCCCGGTCTGGGCCCCCGGTCTGTGTCCCGGTCTGGGCCCCCGGTCTGGGCCCCCGGTCTGTGTCCCCCGGTCTGTGTCCCCCGGTCTGGGCCCCCGGTCTGTGTCCCCTGGTCTGGGCCCCCGGTCTGTGTCCCGGTCTGTGTCCCGGTCTGGGCCCCCGGTCTGTGGTCCCCGGTCTGTGTCCCCCGGTCGGTCTGTGCCCCGGTCTGTGTCCCCCGGTCTGTGTCCCCCGGTCTGTGCCCCGGTCTGTGTCCCGTTCTGGGCCCCAGTCTGTGGCCCCCGGTCTGTGGCCCCAGGTCTGGGCCCCCCGGTCTGGGCCTGCTCCGTGGGGGCTGCCGACGTGGAGGGCCACTTGGCCTGACTCTGGGGCCCCTCCTGCCTGCGGCGTGGCCAGAGGTCCACACGGCGATTCAGGCAGAGCCACAGCTGCTCACCTTCCGGCCTGAAAGGTGCCTCCTACCGTGGCCACTGCCCTCTCATCACGGGCTCCCAGTGCACACGGCCCGCACGACCCGTCAGCCAGGCACGACCCTCCCAGCTCCCGCCACGCCGCACACGCACACGCACGCACACGCATGCACATGCACACACGCACGCATCTGCCCCTCTCCCCGGACACCGGACCTTCCTCCCTGTAATCAGGCCGGGACGGCACCAAAAGCTATTTCGGGAGGAGCCCGCGGCCTGGAAGCCGGGCCGGCGGCAGCCACGGCACAGACCGCACGGCGGGCGAAGGAGCCGCCAGCCCACGTCCCCCGCCCGCCGCCGCCCAGACCCGGCGCCAGGTCCCCACCGCCCCCGGCGTCCGGCCTGGCCGTCCCAGCCGCCTCCCGATGGGGGGGACAGCGGCGGGGGATGGTACAGGGAAGGGACACGTTTGAACACATAAGAGGCGGCGGCTTCGCCTCTGGAGCACGACCTGCCAGGCCCTGGGAGCAGCCCGCAGGGGGAGGAGCCCGGCCGCCGGTCCCGGAGCATGGGGGGCGCTCGCCTACCTGAGATCCGGTCTCTCTCCATCACTTCCACGGACTGGGCAGGGGCGGAGCCCGTCCCCGCGCAGAGGTGGCCTCGCTCTCCCCGTGGCCCTCCCTCCGCCTGCGCCGCCTCCAGGGGCTCCCTGCGTCTTCCGTCCGCGGGGCGCCCGCTCACACCTCCATGTGCCGCTCCCGGGCGTGCCCCGCGGAGCACGGACTAATCGGAGGGCTGGAGCAGAGGGAGCAGGAAGGGGAGCAGGAGGGAGAGGAGGAGGAGGAGGAAGAGCAGGCCGGTGAGGAAGGGGAAGAGGAGCAGCAGGAGGAGGAGGGGGGAGAGGGGGAGGAGGATGAGGGGCACCTGCAGGACTAGGCCTGAGGGGTCCGGTCCGCGGGCGGGCGGCCGGCCGGCCGGAGCACGAGGGAGGGCCGTGTCCAGGCTCCGCGGCAGCTCGGCTCCCGGCGGCCTCTCACCCCCCGGCGCGGCCGTGGCGCTTGGCTCTGTAATGTCCACTCGGAGAAGCTGCCCGGAGCCTCCGGGAGTCAGAGTCCTGGCGGCTCCCGCCTTCCTCTCCCGGTCCCCTCGGGTCCCCCGGGCAGCCGGGGCCGAGCAGCAGGGGCAGGAGGAGGAGGATGAGGAGAAGGAGGAGGAGGAGGAGGAGGAGGAGGAGGAGCGGCGGCAACGGCCGTCAGGAGCACCTGCCCCAGGAGCCCAGCAGCTGCCGTTGCCGGCGCCGGCGTCCGTGTGTCTGTCCGCCCCGGTGGCCAAGCAGTGCCCCGCCCCGGCCCAGGAGCAGGACAGACTTCCTGGAAGATTCCTACCACACGCATGAGTCAGGGAGTCTCAGCTGTCCCCGGGAGCCGCGCCCTTTTCCCCAGACTCAGCGCCTCTGGCAGGGGCGGGCGCGGGCGGGGCTCCCTCGGAGGCGCCGCTGCCTGGGTCCCGGGCGGGGGCGGGGGCGGGGGCGGGGGGGGGGGGCAGGGAGCCGGACACCGCTGCTCCGTCAGGGCTGGCCGGCCCGCGGGGCACAGAGCGGCCCGCCCACCGCCCGGCCCGGAGAGGAATGTGCGGCTCCGCCGGCCACAAGGCGTCCGCTCCTCCCGGGAAGGGGCGGGCCCTGGCCGCCCGAGCCTGCCCGCCACGTGGGCCTGTGCCGGCGGAGAGTGCCACCCCTGTGAGCTGAAGCCACGTTTGCCTTTGCTCATTTTCGTTCTTTGCTGCCGCCACCCACCCCGTGCGGCCCTCGGTGCACGGATCCTGCCCGCCACGGGGGCCGGGTGTCCCTGCAACCGACCGGCGGCCCCAGTTCTCTGCGGGTGGCCCTGCCCCGTGCCCTCCTGCCCAGGACAGGACCCCAAGTGCTGTCTGCCCATAACAAGGCCTGTTCCTGGGGGGGAGGCAATGCCAGACTCTGGGAGACGCCCCGCCTGCCCTCAGCGGAGCCGGAGGACGGCCCGAAGGCGGCTGCGGGCACCGGGGGCGGGACTGGGCTCAGCCGAGCGGAGCCACGTCCTCCCCGGGACCGGCGCCTCCGGTGGAGAGGGTCCTCGCGGGCGGGTTCGGGGAGGACCTGAGAGGGAGGTGACCCCGGACGGCAGGGTGGATCCCGGACGCATCCCCCGGACCCTCAGGGAGGGGGCGGAGGAGACCTGCCGCCGGGCGTGGGGGGTGCGAGACGGAACGGAGGGGGCCGGGAGACCCAGGCCTCGGAGACCGGAGGGAGGCGGCCACCGGCCACGGGATACCGGCCGACCCGGAGCGGGGAGAGGTGTGCACGGACCCCTCCAGCCTGTGGGGGCGCGGCCTCCGGAGCCGAGAGAGAAGCCGTTAGGCCCCAGCGCATGGGGACGCGTGAGCGCAGCCACGGGACCGCCATGCACTGGGCCACGGCCGGAGAGACACACACTGGGCCACGGCCGGGGGGCGCGCACTGGGCCACGGCCGGGGAGCGCGCACTGGGCCACGGCCGGGGGGCGCGCACTGGGCCACGGCTGGAGAGCTGCGCCCCCGGCGGCTTCCGCTGAGGCCCTTTCCCTCTGAACCACACGCTGACGGCGAGGAGGTCGGAGCCACGGGGGCGGGGGGGTTCTGTTTACTCCACCTCTTTCCAGATTTTACAAAACCCTCCTCATTGGTTTTCTGATTATAAACGTAACGTGTTCTTTGCAGTAACTTTGGAGGCCCATCGGGAAACCCCGTGGGTGCCGGTCTCCAGCTCCGTCCCCGGGGGCGGCGGGGCCCGGCCGGCGGTGGGCGGACGGCGGGGCGGGGCCGAGCCCACCTCCCTGGCGCCTCTGCCGTGCTGGCGAGCTCACTCGCTCGCTCTCGCTCTCATGGCCGCGGTCCGGCAGCTGCTACAAGGCCCCCGGTCCCCCCCCCTGGGTCAGAGTTTGGCTGGAGGTCCCCCCCCACCCGCCCACCAGTCCAAGCATCCTGCACGCAGGATCCTCTGAAACCAAAACTTGGCGGCACCGATCGGCTTGGATGAGGCCTGAGTGGGTCACGCGCCAGGGCAGAGGCCGCGGGAGGTGGGTGAGGCCAGGCCGCGAGGGGGCCAGCCCCGTCCCCCACGTGGGTTCCACTGGCTCCAGCCTCCGGGGCGCCCCAGCTTTCTCCCGGCCCGAGGGGTCCCCGTGGGGACGGCCTCCCCCCCACAGCTCCTCCCTCACTGAACCCACAAACCCACCTGCCCCCAGGCCACAGCTCCGGGACACGGCCGTGCCAGCCAGCAAGGCCCCGGCTGCACCAGCCTGGCCGCGCCCCGGGGTGGGCACAGGTGCCCGCAGCCCCTCCGGGCAGGGCTCCAGCCGGCGCCTCGTCCGCTGCCCACAGCCCTGCACCCCGGTTCCCACACTCCGGCCTCTCCTGTCGATGTCTCCATCGCCTCCGAGGGCACAGGCAGGCGGGGAGGAAGAGTGAGGTCTGCCCCGTCCGCAAAGCACCTCGTGTCTCCCGCACCCCCGGGAGGGGACCCAAGAGTAAAAGGGTCCCCGGTCCCTGAGCCCCCGCAGGCCCGGGGGGAAGGAGCGAGCATGGGAGGACTGCGAGGGCAGCAGGGCCTGGGGAAGGGCCGCAGGCTGTGCCCCTGCGGGAGAGGGCCCTGCGGGGGTGGGCGAGAGGGTGGCTGCGGGGACGCTGTCCGGGGCCGGGCCCCCCCCACGCAGGCATTGCCCGTCCTCCCCCGTGAGCCCCAGCTCCAGGGCCTGCCACCTCTCCCTTTATTTATTTATCATTATTTTTGACCTCCCGCTTTAAAGTCCCTGAGTTATAAATAAGGGCCCCCCCCCCCCCCCCCGGACCTCCTGTGGCCACGGCTACCTCCCTGCCAGCTCTGCGGCAGATTCCGGATTCCGGGCCTGGGGCCGGCTGCATTCCTCTCCGGAACCTTCTCCCCACTTTTTACTGCCCCTCCATGCTGGTTCCCGAGTAAACACAGCCGGAGGCTCTGCCCCGGGACAGGGGCTGGCGGCAGTCCTTCCAGGTCAGGGGGGCGGGAACCAAGGCGACCGAGGGGAGCGGCCCAGGCCGTGGGCTCCCCGAGGAGGGCGGGTCTCCAGCGGGCACCCCCTTCCCGGGAGCTCGGGGTGCAGAGCCCGGGGCCTTGTGGGGTCGGCCCGGGGCCCCTGCGTGCACACGGCCCCTGCGTGCACACGGCCCCTGCGTGCACACGGCCCCTGCGTGCACACGGCCCCCAGAACACCGGACACGCGGCCCAAGCTGCTCTCTCCGCCGCGGGCCCGGCTGCTGCCCCCGCCCGGCGGGGCCGTGAGCTCAAGGGTCCAGTGCGTGCGAGCTGCCCGCCAGCCTCTGGCGCGGCTCCCCACGGTGATGTCAGCGCCCCCCGGGCCCCACATGGCTGCCACATGTGGCTGTGAGCGCCGCCCTCTGGCCGGGGTTTAATTTGGTTCAGTGATTACCTGTGAGCCCCTGCCCTGCGGACGGGCTGGCCCTCCTCCTCCTCCTCCTGCACCGGGGGCCGCACGGGCTCCCCAGACCCGCCCCGAGGGCAGCCGGGAAGGAAGGCCGAGGGGGGAGTGGAGCCCCAAGGCCAGTGCCCGGGGCTGACAGCGTGGGGTGAGGTGCCCTGGAAGGAGAGTGCCTTCAGCGACGGGAGAGGGGGCTGTGCCCCGGGGCAGCCTGCGCCTGGGAGCAGGGAGGGAGTGGGACCAGCGATGGGAAAAGCACCGGCCTCGGGTTCGAGTTCTCCCTGGGCGGGAGGATGGTGCTTCGCTCTTAGTTTTTGATCTCGGGGCCTTTCGTGGGCCCCATCCCGGCGGGTGCCCGCGGGGCGTCTTTAGGAAGGGACGTAGGAGTGGCCGCTGTCCAGGGTGACCCTCAGACCCGAGTCCTCCCCTTCTTCCGTGGGCGGCAGGCAGCAGCCTCAGCCGGGCCTCGCACCCTGGGCCCGGCGCTGCCCCTCTGCCCACGACGGGCATCTCTGACCCCGACCGGTCAGAGGGGCAGCGCCGGGCCCACACTGGAGTCAGAGGTGCCACACGTGGGCAGAGGGGCAGCGCCGGGCCCACGGAGTCAGAGGTGCCACACGTGGGCAGAGGGGCAGCGCCGGGCCCAGGGTGCTCTCCCCGCAGGCTCCTCCTCCAGCCGGGCCCATCGGCAGGGCTGGACGCCCTCCCCGCCCCAGAGGTCCTCTCGGCGGCTCCTGTCCCCGCGGCGGCCGAGCTGACCCCGTGGCCCCTCAGCCCACAGGCCCGCACTCGCCCGCCCCGCCCAGCCAGCTCCTCAGGGCGGCCGGCGCCTGAGGGGGGCGGCTGGCCCTGCAGACGTGGCCCTCCTCCCCGAGCCTCTGAGCTCCTCCCTCCCCCCCGCTGCCGCCGCTGGGTCACCTGTGACCTTTCCGCGCCGCTGATGTCACTCTCCGCGCACTCGGGCGGCGCCGGCTCCCTCCTGCCCCTGTGAGCGATGGGGCGCCGAGCAGAGCTGAGTCTGCGCCCTCGGCCTCCTGCTCTGGAGCAATGCCCCCCCCCCTGCCTGCTCGCTCCGGGGCTGCGGGGCGTCCAGGCAGGAGCCCGGGCCGTCACTCAGGG